TTAAGTTTAATAATAAAACAATTTATTTTTGGTTTAATATTATAAATTTTATAAAGATAATAATTAAATATTTTGTTAGAATTTAATGATTATACTAATTATATTTTAGATTTTTTATATTTAAAATGAGATGTTTATCCTGTATTTGATTATGTTTATCTGCAGTTAGTTACACGAATTCAGATGTGAGAAGTGTTTAAAAGTTAATAAGAGTTTTAAGAGTTTTTAAGAATTTTAGTCAAATGCTTTATAAGATAGTATAGATACATAACAACCAAAAGAAACCCAACCAAAATGATTGCTAAAAAGAATGAGATTTTTGACCTTATCGTTTGCTTACGGACGTAAAGGAAATCATATCACATTTGGTTCTCATATCACTTTTGTAAACAACATAACCTCCATCTCAATCCATAATGGCTACCGGAGCAAAGAAATCATCCTCTAAGCTTCATGATTACCATTGAGTCTCCCTGAAACTCTATAACTCCTGTTAACACCACCCTTATGAAATACTTTTACACCAAGTTTTTTGAGTACTTGAACGTTCACCCATCAACCCTACACCTCGAGTCCAGTAGTACTTGTGAACCTACCGTATTGCCTAGAGGAAAAACTCTCATTGGATGCAAATGGATCTACAATGTCAAATATCATGTTAATTAATGTACCATATCATTGTTTGTTTGATCAAAAATCTTGTAAAGTTGTAAATGGTCTGGGAGTAAATTATGGTTGGCAAAAAGTTATAACAAAATCCTATTCCCTTGTTGTTAAGGTACGAGAACTACGATGACTTCTACGATGACCCTAACGTAGTTGAGGATGCGGGTATCACTCCACTTCAAATATGTGGCAATCAGTCAACATCTCATCAGCCAACAACAATGTTTAGAGAAGTTGTAGATGGGTTGTTATTAGATATTAAAGATGCAACTCCGAAAACCTCTAATTTCTATGTAGCATCCACAAGGCAAATCACAAGTGGAAATGCAATGGTGTATTCGATTGCACAATGCGTTGAAAATACAAGCCAGACCGTTTGCCAAACCTGCCTGAATACAATATATACCTATTTATATAATTGTCTTCCTAATACAGAAGGAAGGTCTATCAACATGGGATGTTTTGCAAGGTATTCAGAGACTCCATTTTTCAATGATAACCAGACAATAGATATCACGAGTTTCTTAAAAGGTCAGGCCCTCATCTGGCTCTTTCAACTTCTTTTGTTTCATATTCTAGCTGTACCTCAAAGCATTATATGTTAACCTGCTGACCCACAAGCAATTTTATATTTGTTGAGCTTACAACTTTTGTATGATGGTATCTCATAGGGCATTCAAGTAAGGTAAGCATAATTGCAGGAGCAATTGGTGGTACAGTAGGGCTACTTTTCATTTTGATCGTTTTGTGGTTTCTGCTTCGACTCAGGAAGAAGTCGAAGAAGTCGGAAGAAGGTAACTGTGTAACTGTGTGTGTGACATATCAGTACTAGTATTTGAATTATCCCCAACGATGAATCTACGAACACTCAGTACTTAGGGTCCATTAGGCTGATCGGACTTGTGTGTGATGAGGCTCATCATATATGAGATATGGCAAATATTATTTTCCCAAGTATATATCTTAATGACATATTATGTTTAATTTCATCTTACTGATAACATCTAACTGTAGCTAAGTGGATTTTTTCATGTAATGCCTTAGACTCACCAGATTTGAAGGGGGCAATAAATTACAATTATAAAGATCTGCAGTTGGCAACCAATAATTTCAGCGAAAAGAATATTTTAGGGAAAGGAGGTTTTGGTGAAGTATTCAAGGTAATGAAATTTACCTTTTCGTATTGCCTTGGTAATATTATTAATTACTATACTAGAGTCAAAGCTGTTTAGTTATTTTAATAAATCATTAATAACTAGTTTGCTCTCAAAACTAATTAAATTTATCCATATTGAAATGCTGCTTCATATTTGTCACACATCCCATATTAATTTTGAACATTATAAGTCAAGACACTGTATGTTTTTACGGGACGAATCGAACTTCAAACAACTAACAACTACTTCAAAAGTTAATTTAATCATGACTAAGCCTTTCTATACGCTTTAATAGGCAATTCTTGATGATAACAACACGGTGGCAGTTAAAAAAATTGAAGTAGCGCATGCTAAAGCAAAAGAAGAATTCGAAAATGAAGTTAAGCTCGTAAGTAACGTTCACCATCGAAATCTTCTCCGTCTACTAGGATGGTCCAGTGAAGGATCCCATCTACTACTTGTCCTGGAATACATGCCAAATGGCAGCCTTGACAAATTCTTATGGGGTAAGTTGCTTTTACAAAATTAAAGATAACTATTGAGATCTTCATTTGAAAGTCGCTGGTATGCTAATAAATATCTTTATAATGGAGGTGCAAAAAGGGGGACTCTGAACTGGAAACAACGATATGATATAATTCTTGGGATTGCCAAGGGCCTTGCCCATCTACATGACGAATTCCATGTAAAAATTGTTCACAGAGATATAAAGTCAAGCAACATTCTCCTTGATGATGATTTGCAACCAAAAATAGCAGATTTTGGGTTGGCAAGGTTTCAACCAGAGGATCAAAGTCATATTAGCACCAAGTTTGCCGGGACATTGTAAGTTTTATTAACATAAAATTTTTGTTTGGTACTTTGCCTCGATCATATGAGTCTAATCAGATTGTTTATTTTTATTACATGGTACGATACTAGGGGCTATACAGCGCCAGAGTATGCACTTCGTGGTCTTTTATCGGATAAAGTTGACACATACAGCTTTGGTATCGTGATCCTTGAAATCATTAGTGGCCAAAGGTGTACCGACACTAACTCTGATAGACCATCCATGGATTACCTCTTGGAACATGTGAGACGCCACCTTTGGTACTCTTTTCTCTAATTGCTTCACTTCAAATTAAAATCCTAAACGGGAAACTATGAAGATAAACGGTAAATTCATTAAGAACTATTATCTGAGGAATTCCTGAAAAATATTCTTTCATTTCCAAAAAAAGAAATCAATTTTTTATTTTGTATTGTCCAGCGTTTTCCTTAACGGAAATATTCATTATAAAATTTACCTATTTGAGCTTAAATAATCATTATAAAATATTGATGAAAATGATTGTGGTGCAGGATTTTTTTTCAACTTCCATCAAATGATATTAGTTAAAGACTTTCGTTAATTCATATGTCAATTGAATTATTATATTATGTTCAGATGGGTACTAAATTTCACATGCATAGTGTTCACTTATGTTTCCAGAACATAGGTGGTCGGTGGTTCACTCGTGTACCAGTTATGTTTGCAGTAGTAAGATTGCCTATAGGCTATAGCTGCTTTTACCATTTTTCCTGTAATTATTTGTTTTGCTACTGGGTTCACAGGCTTGGAAGTTGTACGAGAATAAAAAACATATCAAGTTCATTGACGAGACATTGGATGTGAACCAATCGCAAGAAGAGCACGTGATGCACATAATTGAGATTGCTTTGTTGTGCACTCAATCACCGGTTTCTAAAAGGCCGACCATGTCAGAAGTTCGTTTGATGCTTTCAACCGGCCAATCATTGGGGAAAATACAACTAACCAGGCCAACCCTCATTGATCAAGATAGGAGGATTCAGATAGGCTCTTCAAATAAGGCCATCAGCCTCGGTAAAGTTTCTGGAATGCCAAAGGAATTAGAGGCAAATGAGCAGCTACATGGTGAAAAAGCATATGAAAAAGTAGACGTGATGGAGAAGGGGATGAATGTTGCAACAACGCTCTTGTAAAATTTCTTTTGAACTCCATATTCATTACGGTTGATCAATGATCATACTGTGTTTGTTGTGTTTAAAGAAGGGAAAAGAACCCGTAGGTTCGACTTTAGGTCACTAGTTGAATCTAGATCCAACTATTGGGAGTATCAGTAACTTTTTGTAGATAACATAAAAAAGCTACCAATACTTTATACGAACAGTATTGTACTGCTTTGCCAAGAAACTGTTGTAAGGCCACAAATTCTATGCACACAATATTATTCTAGACAGAAAAACAATTTAATTTGCACTAGAAAATCCGATGTAAGAGTTTGTGTTGGCATGTCTACATCTGCATGGACTATAAAAAATTGTGCGAAAGCATTTATTCATGTTCTTAAGAGAGGGATTTAGGTTGGACAAAAGCGATTTTATTTATGATCTCATTGTTGAGATGAAAGTTCATATTGAAAATACAACTTTCACTAAACTTTAAAAAATTTATTCAAGAACAACTTTCTTTTCTACTCATTTATTCTTTCTATACATCTTTCACTACAAAATTGAAAGCCTTTGCTGAGGGAAAAACCAGTTGGTAAAAGCATCATCGGGAGATTACTGCGGATATGAACTGTTGCTAAATCTATTGTTAAATCTATCGTCAGTGATCAATTTTGTCGGCGGCCAGGTAATCACCAACGGACAGACGCTAAATCCATCGGTCATTTATTTTCATCTTAATTAAAAGAACTTAATTAAGACTTAATTATTTCGGTGATTAATTTAGCGGTGGATGCATCCCTCGGTAGTCCACCGACGTTGATTTATTAAACGACCGATGAGTTTCTTTATTTTATTTTTTTAATTTAAATTTGTGAAATATTTACAGACCGATTTTCAGTCACGATCCATCAGTAACTGTCCAGTTTCTTTTTTTTTTTTCAATTATTTTACCTGTAAATTAAAAAAAATCTAAAAACTATAGACGACACACACAAACGGAAAACTTAAATATCATACATTCAAATTTAAAGCTACTAATTGTTCCTATTAAAAATACAAATTACAATTGATTGTTTGCTACACCATGTCCAACAAACTACTCACACCCTAGATCACCGGCAAAAACAACGAATGTGTCAACTTCAAGATCAATGTCCGCGTCTCATCCAATTCACTCTTCATTGCCTCCTCCCTTTCCTCATCCCGCTTCTTCAACTCTTCAACCTAGGTCTTTAAAGATCCAACCTACAAATATAAAACAACATAAACTTATGTAATATGAACTAATATTAGAATGAGACATCGTAATAAGTAAAGAGTGCAAACCCGATGATTAGTGGACGAGGTACAGGAGCGGTGATGCTATTACATGTGCCACCCAGGACATATCATGGTCAATGGCTGAACTGGCAGATGTATGTATATGTAGCATGCATATGAACATATACATATATATACTTAAGGGTGATACGAGTTTTTTTTGTTTTTGTTTCATAGTGATCTTTAATTATAACAAGTTTGTAGTACCAATTATGCTTTGAAGTTCTCTTTATGTTGCTTTCATCTTAAAATGTCTTGATATGGGAGATAATTCAGGTCCTATAAACTAACACTACAAGAAAAATGATCTTTAGAGAAGCTTTTCTATTGTATTTAAAAGTTTGAAAAGCTTCTCTAAAACCTTTAGAGAAGCTTTTTACTTCCGTCAGCAACCTTCCCTATATAACGGTAGGAGAAGATTTTAGGGAGGGTTTTCGAATGGTACATTTATGTTGACATTTAGAGAAGCTTATTTTAGGCTTTGGAAACACTTTCAAAGCGTATCTAAAGATTGGCCGAATTTTTTTGAAAAGCTTCCCTAAAAATATGTATTAGTGACGTTTTTTAGCATCAATGACAGTTTTTAAGCGTCACTAAAAAGTTACCTTTAGAGAAGGTTTTTAGAAAAGCTTCTCTAAAGATATATGCTTTAGTGACGCCATCTGCAAAGCTTCTCTAAAGGCATGATTTAGTTATTGCTAAAAGTATAAGCTTTAGTTACACTCTTTGTAAACCTTCTCTAAAAGGGTATATGATATTATTTATATATATAGATATATATAGTTCGTATTTCAGCTATATATATATATATATATATATATATTACAATAAAATAAATAACACCAACCAAAAATAACATCAAAATACTAAAAAAAATATAATTTTATATATTTGTCATAAAAGACATAAATTTCAAACAAACCGTAACGTTTTAACCAATCTACATATTTGTTCTAATTTATTTAAAAAAAATCTAAAATCATATAACCCAAGATCTTCAATGTGCCAATTCCATTATTTTATCTGCCATAAGTAAATAGGACATCAAAGTAGCTTCGTTTTATTTCTTTATCCCATCATGAATATACTTGAGGACCTGATAAACCAAAAAAAGAAAGTGTTAAGCTTTATAGACCCAAATTTGCATTAAAGTAACGAACAAACAATTCCTTTAACACCAGGCTTGAGAATCTACATGCTACAAAGCCAATAACAGAAGTTTTTGAATTATGAGCATCTCTATAACTAGTGAACAGTTACCACTTTATTTTGTTTTGGCTAAAGTGTTGAAAGATTGGATCATGGCATGAGATTCTAGTTTAAGTAAAGAGGCAAGTGCATCTAATAAATACATCACATTTAAATTTAACCTATATATATATATATATATATATCAAACAGTCATGAGAGACATCCATCAATATATTCATGATAAAGACTAGATAATGGAGTTCAAAAACAAGTAATAGGGAAAACCACCCTTTTCAATCTTTTGATACAAATGTCAAACAGAATCATGCACCATCTTCAAGTGATTATTATCTACAAGAACTGAAGCATAATACTCACCTCTTCCAAAGAAGCATTACCATCTCTCTCTCTCCGATTCCGTTTATTGTTACATCTACTTGGGTTGCACCTGAAGAAATCCTCTAGAATCTTCCACAAACGTCAGCATACTACAGTTGATCATAGGCAAACTAAAAAAATAACTATTGTATATACCTCTATAGAATTGGCAACAGCCAGTCCTAGATCTTTATTGGCAATGGATAGCACAAACGACATTCTCAATGCCAGGAGTGTTGGCTTTTATGTCAGCAACGAGTTGTCCAAACTCACGAGGCAAACAATAGACAATGGTATTAGCTGTCAATAGTCATTGCACCTGCTTTGATAACCTCGCTCAGGATCTCGTATAAGAATTCTCTATCCGATCTGTTAACAAGCATATATGGTACACGTTCCATAGTTAACAAACTCTATCAGGATTGACCATCAGGTCACATATAAATTACTTTTCACAATAACATAAATTTAAAAAAAGTACTTCAAAAAAAGGAATTACATATGAGAGTTCTTTGTTGAACATGTTGGCCCACGGTTATCACTTTGAGGTTGCTCAAGTATTTGAGTTTCCTTCCCCCCCCCACTTCCCTATGACTAGACCCCTCACCTTTCTCTATTTCGTTTTCCCTCTCATCACTATGAGGTTGCTCAAGTAATTGAGTTTCCTCCCCCACTCCCTTATGACTAGACCCATCACCTCTCCTTCTCTCTGGTTGGTCTTTTTGAGTTGGGTTTATAGGTGTAGATAAACCCATTTTAGCACAATATTTAATTAAAATCTCACTGTAATCAACATAAGTTCTTAGTGTTGGAGTCAGTACCTTATGTCTTTGAAATTCAGAATATGGAGTTGATGGCCCCAGAGAACCTAAGTAATACAACGGGGCAGTAGGCTCTCCAATTCTTTTGTCTATCGAATCATCCTCTTGTAAGATATTCTAAATCACCATAAGCTAGAATCTTTGATATGGAATGTAGTTGTTTTCAACAACAAGATATTCTCTGATGTTTTCCCATAATAAGAACCCATAGTCATAGTGTTTGTACCTAGCAATGCCAATAAAAATTGACAACAATCTGAAGCTTCCTTCATCTTGGCCTCTAGTCTTGCCAATTAAACATCTATTAACAATGGAGAATAAATGGTATCAAACTGGTGGCATATTCTTTCTTCTAAACTTAATCAAGTTAGTTAGATTGCCCAAGTATCCCAAATTCATGATAACCTGTGTAGAGGTAAGTTCTGCATCAAAGTCAGTTTTGTGAGCAACATCATCTTTCTTAGGTAACCGTAACCCGATGATATTTCATAAATCTTTATAGTTGTATTGCCAATGAGTTTGGAATCTGCACACTATGTAGAATCATTGAATACCAAAAGAATAATCTTCACATAAGCTGAGTTAGCAGAATATTCCAAATTTCAGTCTCTGCTGCTTTTCAATCCCCCAACTTGATATCTTTTTCATTCTTGAGATAGGTTTTGGCCTACAGAAAACCAAGCACAAGCATTGTTCATACACTTGCCTTAGAAAATGTACAAATAGATAGAAACAACGCAGAGAAGTATCCACAATGGAAAATAGAATATAAACCTAATTTTACACTATAATCATAATAAGGTCACATGTGAGTAGAAATTTATTTGTTAATTTGCTGTATATAAATATTATGTACTTTAAAAAAAGAAATTACATATGAGAGTTCTTAGTTGAACATGTTGATCCACGGTCATCATGCTACTTATTAACACTGAAATTCCCTAGCTAATAGATGTTCCAAGGCTTACCTTAGCTTTTCATTTACTTATATGCTTTCATCATTTCCCACGTATTTGATGTGCACTCACTAAACCAATGTTGTTCAAACAGAGTTCCTTGAAGTTCGTACCTCTTTGAAACTCGCTATTGAATGACTTTCTAGTCTAATGCTGTTAACCAAGGTTCATCGGAGATGGTGACCCTTCGTATTTTAGCAAAACCATGTCTAAAGATGACTTCCAAAAAGTAGTTACAGCTTTGAGGATTAATGTGATGTTTTTGAGGTATCATGGAGCCACCACAAGGCCCATTGTGCAACACCATCACCAACAAATCATCTACTTCCAACAGGGATGAGAGGCCAACAAATCATCTACTTTTTTGGCAAAGTAGTTGTTCCAGCACCCCCAGGTTGCCTCTGTTACTTATTCAATTTTATCATATATTATATTAAGAGCATAATATCTTGTGAAAAACTCCATCATTTTGTGTTACATCAAC